CCCCCTCACACATTATTCTGAACCAGATTCCTCTGTCAGTTTTCTTCCACATGTCAGTCTGTGAGCTGCCCTCAGAATCTTTTTAATTTGAATAGCTAGCAAACTGGTTCTATTTTGGTTCAAGTAGAGCACGTGCTTTTAAAAGCTTTTAACAGGTTCAGTGTCGCCTGAAGTTTCCCCATTGCCTAACAAAGCTAGAAAAAGGTATGTGTTCATTAAAATGGATTCAGTGCTTTAAGCAATTGGAAGTTAGGTTTGATTCAACTGTCATTACTTGTTCTAAACACTGTGCTGCTTGAGGAACACTGGAGGGGAATAATTGTTCTAATAACATTTGGTATTGGTATTCTTCCTTTTGGAATGAGTACCTGTCAGTATTTTAACTAAACTTGCTACAATCTCTTTATGAAAAGGACAGCTGAACAAAGTGAGAATCAGTCACTTCCTTGCTTCTTCCCTTGGGTGAAGTGTTGGCTTAATTGAGTGTTTCCACTTTTGTTTTCCTTAGTGTGTTGTTGGAGGGTGCAATGCTAGTTTTGCTTCCCAGAGCGGGTTGGCTCGCCATGTGCCAACACACTTCAGCCAGCAGAATTCTTCAAAAGTTACCAGTCAGCCAAAGGCAAAAGAAGAATCTCCATCTAAAGCTGGAATGAACAAAAGAAGGAAATTAAAGAACAAACGGAGGCGCTCTTTACGTAAGCACATGCAATTTTATACAGCTCTTCATAACCTTTAAAACTGCCTCTTGCGTTTGCTTTCTCATTTGTATTTATTTATTTATTAAATTTATATCCCATCGTTCTCCTCCTACTCTCAGTCTTCTCCCCACAACAACAAACCTGTGCAGTAAGCTGGGCTGAGAGTCTGACTGGCCCAGAGTCACCCAGTTGGTTCCATGGCTGAGTGGGGACTAGAACCCAGATCGCCTGAGTCCCAGTCTCATTACATTACACTGCCGTAACCATTACACCACGCTGGCTCTCATTTTGGTTAATGGCTCTTTGCCATCCCTGACAAATGCCCTTGTTTACAACATGGCTTGAAGATGGCTTTGTGAGGAACTCCCAAGGATATGGAGATGCTTGTACCAGAATAGTACTAGAGTATATAGGGGGCTGCTTAATTATAGATATGGAGCTCAGAATTTCTGCAGGGAGCTTTGGCTATTGGATGATACAGAAATATAATTAAACACTATTTGAGGATACCAGGCAAAGGACGGTTTCTTCTCTCAACAGAATAAAGTGATAATTATAATCATATTGCATGTATATCTGAAGCTTAATCCAGACAAGATGGAGGTCCTGTTGGTGGGTGGTTCGGGCTTCGGGGTAGGTGACTTGGACCTTGTCCTGAATGGGGTTGCACTCCCTCTAAAGGACAGGGTCTGCAGCTTGGGAGTGTTCCTCGACCCAGAGCTGTCTTTGGAAGCTCAAGTGACTGCGGTGGCGAGGAGCGCTTTCCTTCAGCTTCGGCTTATCCATCAGCTGCGTCCCTACCTGGAGAACGATTGACTGGCGACAGTGACACAGGCATTGCTTACTTCCCGATTGGACTTCTGTAATGCGCTCTACGTGGTGCTGCCCTTGAAGATGGTCCGGATACTTCAGATGGTGCAAAATAGAGCTTGCCAGGTTGCTGACAGGGATTGGGCATTATTCTTATATGACCCCAGTCCTCTACCAGCTTCACTGGCTCCCCATCGAAGTCTGGGCCCAATTCAAGGTGCTGGTTATCACCTATAAAGCCCTTAACAGCTTGGGACCTAGATATCTAAAGGAACACCTGCATCCATATTTGCCCTCCCGCCCCTTGAGATTGGTGGCAGAGGCCCTTCTCCAGGAACCCTCCGTGAAAGATATTAGGAGGGCGAGTACCCGGAGGAGGGCGTTCTGTGTGGTAGCGCCTCACTTACGGAATGTGCTCCCCAGAGAGGTCTGCCTGGCGCTGTTGTTATTTGTTTTTCGGCGCCAGGCCAAGACCTTTTTATTTAAACAATATTTTAATAATTGTTGATTTTATTTATTGGTTTTAAATTATTGAGCCAGGATTTTCCAGATTTTATATGTATGTATTTGTATACGTATTTATTTATGATGTTGGAAGCCGTCCCAAGGCTTTTGCGAATGGGACAGCATGCAAACATTCCAAATAAAATAAAATATAAATAAATAAATAAATATCCTATCTTTCTTTTGAATGAATCCCAAGGCAGCTCAGAGTTCTCATCCTCCGTTTTATCCTCACAATCCTGTGAGGTAGGTTAGGCTGAGAGTCAGCAATTAGCCCACTGTTACCCAGCCAGTTTCATGGCTAAGTGGGACTAGAACCCAGATCTCTGAAGTCCCAACCCAGGACTCTTTAACAGCTACAGCACGAAGGACAATGCAACTTATTATGGCTATCATCTTAATAAGCAGCTATGGGGGCATTATTGGCTGAAGGATGGAATAGGAATCCTTACAATGAATAAATGATTCTGGAATTACCTGTGTATGCTAAAGGGAATCCAAGACCCTTATGAGTACTGGTCCAGAAGCTACTTGTATAGAGAATTTGATGATTTGGATCATAACCATCTTCAGCTAAGCTTGATTTACATTTTTAACAAACCCATATTGTAGGCTAAATTTATGGATTGTGTTTTTGCAGTATCCAGATGTAGCATTGTGACTTGTAGATAGTTTGTCATCAGCTTGTTCTTGATGTGGAATAGTCACAAGATAAGGAAAGGCTGTTCTGATTTTGGGCAGCTTTTAAAATAGGTTTGGTTTATGTCAATAAAAGAGGCAAAAGTGAAATCTTGGAGGAGAGATGAATTCCTCAGGCAGAATTTTGAGAACAGACTCTCAGGCATTGTGGAACATGCTGCAGTCTCACTACCCTGCTACTGACAGGTTTCTGGTCTCACTTTAAACTACTTGGACTGAGATACTTTTTAGTTGAGATACCTCAATGTTTTACAGACACCTTGAGCAATTGAATGGTGCCAGAGCATTCTTTACAAATGAACACATGGCTAATTGTAATGCCACTGACTGAGCTAACCCCATCATAGTTGGCAGACATTTGTAAGGCTTTAGGACAGGAGTGGGCAACTTATGGTCCTTCACACATTTTGGTCTGCAATTCTCAGCAGGCCTTGCCAGCACAGCCAGTGGTGAGGAATCATGGGAGCTTTAATGCACAATACCTGCACTGGAAGTCTTTAAGAAGTTTGATGTGTGAAGACCTTTGAAGGGCTGATGCAGTTTACACTGCAGGATGCACAACTCCTCTCGAGATTGAGAATGAGCCACAAGACTGCACTCTTCCATTGGTGGGTGGTGTTACTGATGTGACATTTGGACTAACAAGAAATATTATGGAGAATTTCTTTCTGAAGTGGGTGGGGAACCAGGGGAATCTGATGCTAGTAAGGATTTAATTCTATGCCCCCCCCCCCCAAGTCTCTAAATTAGATCAAGTTTGTGTCTGTACTCTTGGCTGGTATGGAATACCTCTTGGTCCATGATAAGGCATTGATGTGTTGTTTGCTCAATCCTTTCTTTACTTAAAGAAACAAATAAGGAAAGCAAACTTGAATGAATAGAGAGAAAAGATCTCTAATCTTTATTGAGCATCCTAGCATTAACTGCACTATTTGGGGTGATAATTTGAAGATGCTTTTACAGAAATTAGAATCTCTCTTCTGCATATCTATGTTAATAACCTAAATTAGAGCTTGATACTGCACTTCTTGGGGACATGGACTTGTAGCATTCTGCTCGTTTTGTCCACACTTCTGTATTTGCTATCGCGCAATTCTTACAGCCCTGATGAAAACCTTGTATTCTGGTTATGCAGTATTTTTTTGGTTTATTGAGTGTAATTATAAGCTTTACTGAAAGAATTTTAATCCAATATTTATGAACAACTTAAGTTGTTGATTAGCTGGATCCTCACACACAAAGTACTGCCTTCTTTTGCAGTTGCTACTATTCTTATTTGATTGCTTAGATGAGCATAAATTCAAGCTATGCGGTGGCCTCTTGAATAGACCAGAACTCAGCAGATCCTTCTTGGCTTTCCTGGCTCTGTGCCTGCCCCTGGGTGCAGCTGTTCCTGAATTCTCTGTAATGTTGTGGATATAGGGAGCTGAATCACAGCAGGGAATTTGAAGGGATTTAGCCGGACTGCCACGTGCAAGCAGGCAAGCTTTTCCTCTTCCACAGAATATCTCTTGATCCAAGCCAGTGTCTTCAGACAAATTGCCAGGCTTTGAGCTGGCTCACATGTGTGCATTCATCATTCCTTTCCTTTTCTTTCCATGTGATAACTTCGGATATCTGACTCAGCCATCACATGATGCAACACAGGATTTCCCTGTCTTTCAACATCAACTTTAATACAGTAGATCTCATTGGATGGAGTTTCTCTCTGCCCTAAGTCCATCTCATGCAGTGTATTCTGTGGGAATCTGGCAGGAAGCAGGTTCAAGGGGTGTCCTGCTTCCTCACACATGATCTGTGGGCTTTGCATACATTGTGCAAAGAATCGCATGCTTTGCATAAAGAAGTCATTCGTGTTCTTGAGTGTTCGTGGACTTGATCTTGGCTCAGCTTGCTGCCCTGCCAGGGCTGAGAGTAGAAAAGTCCAACAAGTAAAGGAAAGCAAGATTCTGGCCTGATTCTTTGCATCCCTACCTTGGAGACAGGCCTTTTGACCAGGGAGGAGACAGGCTCTGCTAGTTTATGTGCTCAGATAACTGGAAGCAGCCACCTCAGTGTCCTTTGTGGTGGCAGCGGTAGCAAGGTGACCTTTGGTCCCACACTTCTTTTGCCTTGTGCAAGATGTGTGGAAGGTTATGAATAGCCTCAGTAGAGGTGCCCGAAGCAGACCCTGTATGGACCATGAGAAATGCTTCAGAAAACGAAGGGTTGCTATTGTATGTAGTCCACAGTTTTTAGCGAATCTTGTCTTGCACTCAGCTGAACCATTTGGTTTCCTTCTGTTTTGTCTTGTACAATATGTATGTACCAAAAACTGATGCGCATTAAAGTAAATATCCAAACGGATTTTTATTAGTCCTTCATTGCTATTTCATTTACTGCTGTTTGCCAGAGGAAGGAAGTTTCCATAGCTATAGAACAGGGGTGGTTAGACATGCTCAGTGGAACAACCACATTTGGTGAAAGTCAGGTGTTTGAAAGCCGCAAGGCACAAACAAATATTTATTTATTTAGACAAACAGACACTACTACAATTATCAGGCCATTTACTGCTCTTAGAGGTCTTGTGAGTCTCCATCTTGGCTGTGAGTCCTTGAAAATCCAGCTGTCAAGGCTATATATGGATTAGCTCTGTTAGGTGCTTTCTAGCTCAGCTGCTGGTTGAGCCTTGATTGGTTGAGGTTCAGAGTTGAAGGTTTAAGGCACATGATTGAAGCACCACAAATGGTTATCACAGCAGGAGACTCACGCCTCATTCCCTGCTTTTGTTGGTGCTGGGCTTTTTCAGACTGAACTCAAAAGAGCCGCATGCTGCTTGTAAGCCTTGGTTTGGCCACACCTGTTATAGATCAAGGCCACGTTTGGAAGAACTGTATAATTTGTTCTGGCCCCAAAGGGACATTTGGATTTGCCTTTTGCCTTGCTCTCTAGCTATAATCCACATCTTAGGTACATGATCTAGGATTTAAAATTATAGATTTGTATTCATAATATGTTCAGTGCTTTGCGGCCACAATAAATATTGCCTTTATTTCTGTTTCAGTAATCTAGTCTAGCCCAAAGCCACTGTACTCATTGTGCTCAAATTGAAGTTGCATTAGGCTTCATTTTAATTCAGAGCCCATTACTTAATCACCATTTGTAATTGTTGGCAAGCTATTTTTTTTTTTAAATGAAGTTTGTCCCTGTATTTCTGATCAGTTTCATCATATCTGTTTTTAATTACTTGGCATTGATTAGTTGCATATTTATGCTATATAAATGAGCAGCATGATTCTGTGAAGAAAGTGGATCTCCTGCTCTTCACAAATTCTTCAGCTGCAGTACATGAGGTAACAAAGAAGGTGGTACCTAAGGTTTTGAATATCCTTTAAAATAAAATAAGAGGGAGCTTGAATCAAGTTACAGTTTTGGAAGTTTTATACTAGCAGCTGGATTCAGAAACTTGATCCCTCATTTGCTTCCTTTAGAGGTACAATAAGCAGTCAACCACAGAAGATGGATTTTTAGCGTGTGTTGTGAGTGAAAGAGCTGTATCAAGATAAATCAATTTTTAAGTTTTTTTTTTTCTTGGTGTAGATACCTTCATAACTGATTGAATAAACAGTCACAGGAACATTTGCTCCTGCAAAAAGTGTTTGCTCAGTTGTACTGCTCTCAGATTCTCTGTTACCAATACGCTAAGACTCAATTTGGGGCTTGCAGTTTTGCAGTGACCTTAATTGGGAGGTCTAAGATGGCTATTTTCTTCCCTCCCTCCAAGCCAGAAATGTAAACCACTTGTTGAAGCAAATCATTGTTTGCACGCCACTGAAAATAAAACCATGGGGGGTTGCAAATCATGGTTTGGAAAATGGTTTGAGATGGGCAGAAAAGCCGTCCGTTAAATAGAATCGTGGTAGCAAATTTAAAAGCATCAGTGTGCCTCGGTGCAGTTTTTGTCTCTTGATAGTATTTTCGATTTCTAGCAAACTAGTACAGAGTGAATGAAGAGTGTCATAGATGAGAGTGGCATCGTTCAGCAAGCTCCTCACATACTCTGAGGGTACCTCATCTTGGTACTGAACTTCATTTCTGCACACTTGCATATTTTCTAGTTCAGAGGCTTACAATGAGTTTAGCCTATTTATATCAGGCAGTGATATAGCACTGACATTGGTTTTTGTTTTGTTTTGTTTTTGCATATGCCCAGTAAGTACTTTCAAATTGTTGATAATGGAACTTGATGTTTACACAGCTTGGAGTAAATGTTGCATTTAATATATTGTGTCAATTAGAGTTCATTTAAATGCCATCCTAAACTGAGGTATTATTTTTAGTTGCTTCTTTCTAAGCTGTATACTTTATATTTCCCCAAATTGCTCTAAAGTGGAACATAAATATGTGATCAAGAACCAGATAGAAGCAAATTTTACTGATTTGAATAGATTGCTAACTAAAGGTTTTGCAGACCTACTTCAACTAAAGTTATAAGTTTAAGTTAACAAATTAAATGTTAAGTGGAGAATAACCAGCAAGTTTGAATTTTATGTTCATTTCTTTTTACTATGTGTGTACATATATTCGATTATATAGAAAATTTAGTTCACAATATACAGTTTTTGTAATTGGTTCAGTCCTCTTAAAGCAATCACAATTGCTTTTTGGTAACCCTGCTGATTTTCTTACTATTTTAAATAACAAGTTGACAGAAATAAGACTTGTTTCTAAGTTTGTGCTTTGGGCAACAAGAGTAAGGAAATGTTATGTAAATAAAAAAATTTATTGATTGTATTTCTTACTTTCCTGTGTTGATTTGCTTTAAGTGAAATTCAGTATTATTGGTTGATTTATTTATTTCATTTCTGTTCAGCCCTACAGCCAAAGCTCTCTGGACAGTTTATGCTGATGTTGTAAGCTAGTCAATAAATTTTTGTGCTTTTTAAAAAACCTGGGCTGATCAGTTGATAGGGCTGCACTGAATGTAAATGATCAGCATGTTGCCTAATATGGAAAAAAAAAGCACAGTGCTTTAGTCTACTTCTATTTCAGTATAATTTTAAAAGGCAGCCATTATATTACATTCATTCTAATAACAAAATGACTATAATAACCTACAGGCAAAACTTTATATATAAACAAAAGCCTTTGGATTTTTAAACTATTATTGCCTTTATATAAATGTACTGGCATTGAAGAAGTGATGCTATCTAAGTAGACTTGATTATTGCTTTCTACAGTTTACTTGTGTCCTTTTATCTGGATGGCATTAGCCAAGTTAAACATTGACAAAACGATCAAAGATAAGAATAAATTGAATAGAATTACACCTACAAGAAGCTTGCTGCTCTTAAAAGCATATGCATTGAAGGAAAATCCTTCAGCCAGTTTCAGGAGTCTGTCCAAAGCGAATCCAAAGTGGTTTTTATCACTTTAGATTGTAAAATCTTCTGGCTAAAACCAGAGTTGCCTGGATGTTCAAATGCTTAACATATCTCTTACGTAAGTGTTGAATCCTTTTTTCCCTTTTTAGCAAGACCACATGACTTCTTTGATGCACAAACTCTGGATGCTATTCGACATCGCGCCATCTGTTTCAATCTCTCTGCTCATATAGAAAGTTTAGGAAAAGGCCACAGTGTTGTGTTCCACAGTACTGTAAGTATTTTTCCTTCTTCATATGCTTGTATTTTAATCGAATGACCATAGTTTTAAACTGCATTTCTGCTTACATATTTTCATACATGTATGACAGTGACAAGTCTCATGACAATATTGTTAAAAATAATTATACATTTACATTCCGTATAGCCTGGAGTGCCTGATCCTACTTAATCTTGGAAGCTAAGCAGGGTTGGGTCTCGATGAGTGACTTAAATGTTATGAACTGCCCAGAAAGCTTTGGCTACGGGTTGTAATGTATAGAAATGTAATGTAATAGCAAGAATACAGTAATAGTGGTAAACACATTTTTGCCCCACAACTTCTCCCTTTAGGAAGGACAGAAGCTTAGCACATTGGTTCCCCTCCCAACTGGGATGACAAATGGTACTCTAAGGAGATGCTCACTGTTATCTCTAATCAGAGGTAACTGCAGAGGTTCCTCTTCCTTCCCGGTAAGAAGTAGTAGGACTCTTGGGGAGGGACTTTATTCAAGGCCCTGCAGGTCAGATGGGCCAACCTGGCAGGCCAGAATTGCCTGTGCGCCACAGGTTCCCCATTCCGACACTACTGAAATAATGCCAATGTTCTTAAATATTAGAGGGTGAACAGGAATTAGTATAATCTTATGTCATGTGTAATGCAATTTTTGAGGGGGTTACCTAACTTGGGCTACATTTTGAGGTCCCTGCTTTAGACAGTGGGGTATGTGTCGAACATTCCCTCCTCTGTTACCAGATTTTCTCTAAGCATGGAACCTGTTTATTTGTGCTTCCAACATATTCTTTAACAAGTGAGGGCGAAGGAGGTTCACTTGCTCCCTGCCCCATGTGTTGCATTCCAGTGGCCCAGTCCCACAGCCCTCCTTGCTTCAAGGGTGAAATTCATCAGCAAAGAACTGGATATACTTTTTCAGGCTTTTCTATGCAGTTTGGAACTCTGGTTTTCTGTACACACAAGTATATCGTAGGATCTTGCTATGGTTGTTCAGCCTCAATGCATGGAAGGCTGTGGCGACATGTTGTTTGGAACATGATGAAGAGGGCCAGGCCGACAAACATATTCTAGCTCTCCCGTCTCAGGAGGGGCGAGCGCGAATCAGGCAAACCATTGGCAGTGTGAAACTTCTTGCAAATCTAGCTCATGGCAGAGTTTCAGATCACAACTTAAAGGTTAGTGTAAACCTAACCTTAGTTTGCCAGCCTTGGACATCATGGAATGATAGATCATTCTTGAAATAGACAAAAGTCTTCAGAAGAGCGGAATGCAATTTATGAACCAAGTTGTATAAATTCAAGCATTCTTGCAGATGTCCCAGTCTGAATTTAGGAACATAAGTATGCCAGCAATGCTATTATTTAGCAGTATTATTTGCTGGCTGGAGCTAAGCTATATATATGCAAGAGCAGGGGAAGCAGTGCTGCCTGCTCTCATGGGATTTCTGCTTTTATTTCTGCTGCTCTCCAGAAGAGGTCAGTAGAATTCCATTTATTTATACCTGAGATATTTTCCTGGCTGAAGCAGGCTTTCTGGATGTTTTAACTGTGGTGCACAGGAGAATTGCAGTCCTTCAAGGTCATTGCTTTCCCTTTACTTTGCATAGCTATAGTTACTTTGTCCATGAACCGGCTGTTTATGGCGTTTCCCTGCAATTTAAAATTTCATAGTCTGATTATTGGATAGTTTAAAAATCATTAAATAAAATAATTGCTTTTCATACTTGTGAAACATCTTGTGGTGTAAAAGTTACTGAAACACTTTACAAATGTAGAAATTTACATCCTAGATTATGCTAGTTCAAAGAATAACTTAACAATGTAGTCAGCATCCCATTACCCTTAGCAAGTGGGGTTTGATAGCAGCTTTTGGTATATTTAAACAGGCCAACCACAGACCTCTGGGATGTGCAGAAGAAGAACAAGGCAGTAATGAAACACCAGCCTGGCTTTATGTATATTATTTAGTTATGAGCACACTAATGAGGTTTAGAAGATAGATTCAGGACACTATCATACAAATATTTAAACAGAAAAAGTGCCCTGGGCCAGCATGTATCTTCTAAAGCTCATTAATGCACTCATAACTAAATAATACCCAGAAAGCTGGGCTTCATTAAATATATATAATTGTTTAAAGAGGTGTTAGCCCAAATACTTGATCCCCTCTGACTATTTTAGTATTTAACAGAACACAGCCCAGTTCCATCAGGTCAAGTGACAGGGATTACTTCTGGTCACGGATTCTTCAAGAAACACTGTCCATAAACTTGAGTCTGCTGGACAAACACCTGCCTCATCAGGACTGTTGGGCTGTATGCCATCCATTTAGCGTGGTCTACTGCCATTTTTGGTGCTCGCAATATTTCCTTCCCTGATCACCCTTTTCTTCGTTTACTCACCCAAGTTGCTCCTCTCTCTGTACGCAAGATGATTACTGCTCTGGCCATTCTGAAGCTCTCAAGATGAGTAAGAATCAAGAGAGGCTCTGTTTCTCAGCAGCACAGTAGTCATAGCAATTATTTTTGTTTGAAAACTTGAAAATATTTAAAAGGTAACAATAGCACACGCTTCTTTAATTTTATTAAGTGAGGGGAAAGGAAGTATTGGACACTAATTGCAGACTAGCTCTAGGAGCGGTGCATTAGAGTTTATTGGTCACTGGAAGGGACTTAGCCTAATTGTTGATCCTTCTTTATGACTTTTAGCCCTATCCTTCCCACCCCTTTTCCTGCGCCATTCTGTTTTCCCTGCATCTCACAGCAGTGGGATTGCAAATAGTATTCCAAGAAACAGTATTTCAGGAGGCTCTGGATACAGCATTGTACAAAATGAGTACAAATAAGCCTGCAGATGTGTGCGTGTTCGTCCAAGCTGTGTATTACTGCAGTGCTCAGTTCATTTTATCTTAAGAAACAACTTAAGGATAAACATCTATTTTTGCATTTCTTGAATAGGTTGAGAGAGAGTAACTGTTAACCTTCTACTCTGTCTTAGCCTTCCTCAATGTGATGCCCTCCAGGTGCGTTGGACTACAACTCCTAATCTCCCCTGCCAACATGGCCAGTAGTGTATGAGCTATAACAGGGTAGTCAGAGCGCGTTTGGAGGACTATCCAATTGCACAAGGTGCTTCTTATCTTATCTATCTGAGTCTTCGTTCATCTTGGAAAAGCAGATTGTGCTTGAATTAAATAGTAGTCACAAAGGAAACATGCATGGCAATGCATTCATATCTTTATTAGAATTCAGTCTTTATTTGGCCACTTGTTTTAAGACTGGGCAATTAAATGAAGAACATTACAGAATTTTTTCAAGAAACTATTGTTATGGTTGTTTGTTAGGTAATAGCAAAGAGGAAAGAGGATTCTGGGAAAATTAAGCTACTGCTTCACTGGACACCAGAGGATATGTGAGTATATACAGTTTCCGCAATATGCCATTTGTGCATTCAGGATGCCTGCTGTGCCTTATATGCAACTGACAAGGAACTTAAGCAAATATATCCCATATTCCTGTTGGCTCTTTTATAACTGTACCAGGCTACTGCCTTTATATTAATTAGTTTGCAAAATGATTTTTGAGCATAATAAAAATGTATGGTGACATGACTTCAATGAGCAAGTGGTAAAACTGGTAGTTGGGATGGCAGTGTGCGCATTTTCGGAAGTCAGCTCTACACTTGCAAGTTATCTCAAGTACCGCTGCTGCTGGAATTACATGCATCTTTCCCATAATGTCTAGTTATCACATTAGGCTGTGACAGTGTCGCGCTGGTTGCCTACTTAGTAATACTTCCCTTGTTGGTATTTTTTGAAAGAATCAGAGTATGATTTATTTTGCAAATTATTTTGAAGTCTGGGAGTTAAAATGCATACTCATAATTGAATCCATGTATTTGCATAGGACCAGAGTTTCATTAGAAAATGACTATAATTCTGAGAATGGCCCTTTGGTCAGGAATATCATAACCTCTTGGCAGTGCAACTTCAACTGTGAAGATTTGGTTTTCAGATGGCATTCAGCAAAGCTGCTTTTTCCATATGAGATTACAGTGTCAAAAAAGGTTGACCATTTTTAATACTTTATTTTATTCATAGTCTTCCTGATGTGTGGGTAAATGAAAGTGAGAGACATCAATTAAAAACCCAAGTAGTTCATTTATCAAAACTACCAAAAGATACTGCCTTGCTTCTGGATCCAAACATATACAGGTAATTTTCCAGTTTTTAAATGTTCTCTTCTCTTTGACCTTAAGCCTCGCTTAACTTTTTGAAGCTGACCCCAAAACTGCAGGTAGCCAAAGTTGTTAGCCATCTTAAGTATTACCATACCCTCCCCTTAATTTTATTTCTGGATAGTGAGTACCATTTGATGTATCATTGTACCCTCTTCCAATGGCAGCATCCAGAAATTAAGTTTTGAGGTCTGAGGTCATTTAACATTTCTTGAACTAGTGACTGAGAAACAGGGAATGTGTGTATTTACCAAGTGTATTTTACTTTTTTGTGCTTGGTGTACAGAAAGTCTAGTAAAGGAGGTACATACACTGGAACCCTGAAAGATCACTTCTGTTAAGATCACATACTGGTTTGTATACCAATTTTTGTATACCAATTTTTAAATCCAAATTTTATCTTTTTTATATATATACAATATATAATACTTGGCCTGTAATACCATGTAGTATTACTTTAAAACCTGCATTCAGGACAATTTTTAACACAAAAATATAGGGAGGGGGGCAGGACTTGCTGTAATTCAGCTCTGAGCATCTCTTAGCGCTTGAGACTTGAGTTCTGTAATCACTTTCTCAGATTTGATTCTTTTTCCCTGTATTAATGCTATAAGTGCCCATAACTATATCTTCTATGCATTTGTTCCAAAGGTAATCTGAAAAGCTTTAAAAGAAAAGTGTTGTATAAATATATGATGAAGCATGTACAAGAACAAAACAAACTTTGTCCTGCCACAGGAACACTCGGCGTTCTTATTCCAAAGTTGCTCTAGTGAGTTGCGCATTGGGAGGGGCAGTAGCTCAATCCCACCAAATGTGGTTTTGGAAGCTGAAGCTCTCAGATTCATTCCTTGCATAGGTCCAGGTAAAAGAATCCAGGTAGCAGGGAAGGGAAGAATCTGGGCCAGGAAATGTTCAGCCCCGCTGCCACTTGAAGAAAGCATGGCCTAGACTGCCTAGAGGCAGATGGACTGCCAGCTAGTGCTGTGTTTAGTGCTTTGTGGTGGAGCAGGGACTAGAACCCAGATCTCCTGGATCTCAGTCCAGCCCTAACACCGCACTGGCTCTCGGGGTCCTGCTCACTGTTACATCAGAAAGAGGCTAGACACACTGATGAGGCACATCTGTATCTAAAGAATTGAACTCTAACGTGCCCGAACTGCACATTTCTGCTTAGAATCATATGGACCAAGAAAGTGATCTTGGGGTTGTGGTGAGCAGCCTGAGGAAAATGTCGACCCAGCGTGCTGCTCCTATGAAAAAAGCAAATTTCATGTTGCGTGTAATTAGAAGCTGAGTTGAAGATAAAACTGCTCATATCGTACTGTCCCTATTCCAGTATCTGGTGCACCTGCACTTGGAATACTGTTTACGATGCTAGTCACTGCAGAAGAAGAAAGCTAAAATGAACAAGGGGATGAAGTGATTCCCTGAAGAGGGAAGGTTACAACAGCTGAGCTTGTTCAGCTGAGAAGAAAGAAAGCTGAGTAAGGAGAGAGACAATAGAGGTGTACAGAATTAAGTATAGTGGATGAGAGCTTTTTCTCCGGTGCTTGTAATTCAAGAATCCAAGTGTGGTCCACATGGCAATATCTGCTCTTTTTTCTGCTTCCAGATTCTGTCTTTTCCCCAGATATGCTCATTGACTGCAGGCCCAGGTGTGCCCTCAAACTGCACAGTAGAAGCATTTCTGTGTCTATCAGTCAAATTCGCAACATACTGAAGAGCATAATTATGAAATTTACCAATGCATGCTAAATATCCTTGGACTTTTTTGAGCAGCCGTCAGTGCAATGTTTCTGTTTTCTTCCTAGAACAATGCCACAGAAGAGGTTGAAGAGGTAAAAATCAGCTCAGCAGGGGTCCCGCGTCTGCCGTCATGTTCACTGACCATGGAATTGAAATTGCACATTAGCGAAGCCCTTCCACTTCATCCTCATACCTCCATGATGCCCCGTGCCCACTGCTGCCAGCCTCAGATGATGTTTATGCCTGGCATAACCATTCTGTGAATGAAGTCGATGCATCTGTGGAATATGTTATATATAATATAATAACTTTCATGGAATGGTACAACAGGGGTTGGAGCAAGTACTCTTCCAGAAAGCTAGAGGTGCTCTCAAAGGCATTGCATGCTTGCTGCTTTCCTTTTAATTATTTTTTTAGCTTGTATCAGATGGAGTGGCAGTTGCTATAAAATGCCACGTGCAGCTTTCCCCCCTCCCCTCCCCTCCCAAACGGTCCAGCAAGCATGCAATGCCTTTGAGAGCACCTCTAGCTTTCTGGAAGA